TCATACAATGATCAGAAGTACAGTGCACAAGAATCATAACTCCATCTTGACTAATTACAGAGTTATTGCCCTTGTTACTTTTCTTTGTCTGGAGCATAACATGAAAACTACTGGTTGGAATTCAATACAACTTCATACAATCATCAAGCACATTAAGAGAAAGTGCAGTGTACAAGAACCATAACTCTATCTTGACTAATTACAGAGTTATTGCCCTTTGTTACTTTTCCTTGTCCGGAGCATAACTTGAAAAGTACTGGTTGGAATTCAAAAAAACTTCATACAATGGTTAAGCACAATAAGAGGAAGTGCAGTGCACAAGACTAATGGTTGGAATTCAGTACAACTTCATACAATGATCAGAAGTACAGTGCACAAGAATCATAACTCCATCTTGACTAATTACAGAGTTATTGCCCTTGTTACTTTTCCTTGTCTGGATCATAACTTGAAAACTACTGGTTGGAATTCAATACAACTTCATACAATCATCAAGCACATTAAGAGAAAGTGCAGTGTACAAGAACCATAACTGTATCTTGACTAATTACAGAGTTATTGCCCATTGTTACTTTTCCTTGTCCGGACATAACTTGAAAAGTACTGGTTGGAATTCAAAACAACTTCATACAATGGTCAAGCACAATAAGAGGAAGTGCAGTGCACAAGAACAATTACCCTGTCCAGAGTATTTATAGAGATATTGCCCTTTGTTACTTTTCCATTGCTTTTTTCTTGTCCAGAGCATAACTTGAAAACTACTAGTTGGAATTCAATACAATTTCATACAATGGTCAAGTATATTGAGAGGAAGAGCAGTGCACAGAAACCATAACTCTTTCTTGACTCATTTAAGAGTTTTTGTCCTTTGTTACTTTTCATTGTCCAGTACATAACTTGAAAATTAATGGTTGGAATTCAATGAAACTTCATACTATGGTCAAGGGCAGTGAGATAAGTGCAGTGCACAAGAACCATAACTCTATTTGGACAAATTACAGTTATTGCCCTTTGTTACTTTTTTTATCCAGTGTATAACTTGAAAACTAGTAGTTGGAATTAAATACAACTTAATACAATGGCCAAGGGCAATGAGAGGAAGTGCAGTGTACAATAACCATAACTCCATCTTCAGTATTTGTAGAGTTATTGCCCTTTGTTCCTTTTCCTTGTCTGGTGCATAACTTAAAAACTAAGGTTTAGAATTCAATGCAACTTCATACAATGGTCAAGCGCAATGAGAGGAAGTGCAGTGCTTAAGTTTCTGGCCTTATTACAGAGTAATTCAATAAAACTTCATCATTGGTCAACCACATTAAAAAGAAATGCAACATACAAGAACCACAACTATCTTTAATTGCCCACAGTCATAACTCTATTAAGGTATTCTGTTACTAGTAACTTTCTCATTTCTGTAGCAGTCTTGTGGGGGTATTAATCACATTTAGTGATAGTTTTAGTTTAATGAGTTTAGTTATGTGGTTATATTCTTTAAACTTTAGTTATTTGCTAACTTTGATGAATTTAGTTATGTGCCAATTTTGATTTAGTTATGTTGTTATCTTTATGAAGTTTTGTGGTCATGTGGTTCTTTTCTTGAATTTAGTTATGTCATATTTGCTTATTTTAATGAATTTAGTTATGTGTTTATTTTGATGAATATAGTTATATGCTCATTTTGATGAATTTGGATATGTGCCTAGTTCAGTTTCTACTCATAAACTAACTTAAAGAGAAAAACAAACCTTTTGATAAAACAAGAAAACAGGAAGACATTCGTATGTAAATGTTATATCTCAATAAACATGTGACACCATTTTAAAGATGCACACCAGTTAGTGGTACGTTCTTTAAAAAAAAAAAAAAAAAAAAAAAAAAAAAAAAAAAAATTCAACAAAGCACATTATCCACAGATTCCACTCCATTCCATCAAGTTGGCTCGAAAAATATAAGTAAATCAAACACCATTTAAATAAGGTGGTGAAGAAAAATATCTCATATAAAAGAGCCATAGAAGATAACAAAGGGACATCACAGACATTTTTAATTCAATTATAACATCTCACAAGATGTTAATATCATATTAAATTACTTTCTTAAGAAAACTTTAATAGTGTTTTATCACCCTTTTTGAAGATAAATAAGTAAGCAACGCCATTTGACTTTTATTCAAGTGGTTGTCAGAGAGAGTTTACGAGTGCCGATATTTCTGACAATTAAATTTGATATTATAAATTATGTTCCATTACTTGGTTTCCAACTCTTTGTTTATGGCTATAATTTGCCTTTGAAATATTTATAAACACTGTATTCTTATGCCGATAATGACCACATTATAATGGTTTTTCATTGATTTTTAGTTCTTTTTTTCCTCAAGACCTATTTATAGGGTCACTATGAAAAGTCTGGGGAGAATTGAATTTAACGATAGACTGTATATGCGTATATAACAATTCATTGTTAATTATTTAACGGTCTCTGCTGGAGGGTCATGTACATTTGTCTAAATTAAAGGAACAGAATGTACATGTAATGTTAGTGTTAATTTTATCTTGTTTTTAGCTCACCTGTCACAAAGTGACAGGGTGAGCTTTTGTGATCGCTTTTCGTCCGGCGTCCGTCCGTCGTCCGTCCGTAAACTTTTACTTTAAATGACAACTCCTCATAAACCACTAAGCCAATTTCATCCAAACTTCACAGGAATGTTCCTTTTGTGGTCACCTTTAAAATTTGTGCAAAGAATTTAATTCCATGCAGAACTCTGGTTGCCATGGCAACCGAAAGAAAAAACTAAAAAAATCTTCTTTTAAAGAACCCAAAGAGCTAGAGCTAAGATATTTAGCAAGAAACATGTTCTAATGGGTGTCTACCAAGTTTGTTCAAATAAAAGCCCTGGGGTCAAAATTGACACCGCCCCAGGGGGTCATTGATTTTCCCTATATGCATATAGTAAAAACTTAAAAAATCTTCTTTTAAAGAACTCAAAGAGCTATTGCTAAGATATTGAGCATCAAACATGTTCTAATAGGTGTCTACCAAGTTTGTTCAAATAAAAGCCCTGGGGTCAAATTTGGCCCCGCCCCAGGGGGTCATTGATTTTCCCTATATGCATATAGTAAAAACTTAAAAAGTCTTCTTTTAAAGAACCCAAAGAGTTAGAGCAAAGATATTTAGCATGAAACATGTTCTAATAAGTGTCTACCAAGTTTGTTCAAATAAAAGCCCTTGGGTCAAAATTGGCCCCGCCCCAGGGGGTCATTGATTTTCCCTATATGCATATAGTAAAAACTTAAAAAGTCTTCTTTTAAAAAACCCAAAGAGCTAGAGCTAAGATATTTAGCATGAAACATGTTCTAATGAGTGTCTACCAAGTTTGTTCAAATAAAAGCCCTGGGGTCAAAATTGGCCCCGCCCCGGGGGGTCATTGATTTTCCCTATATGCATATAGTAAAAACTTAAAAAGTCTTCTTTTAAAGTACCCAAAGAGCTAGAGCTAAGATATTTAGCATGAAACAAGTTCTAATGGGTGTCTACCAAGTTTGTTCAAATAAAAGCCCTGGGGTCAAAATTGGCACCGCCCCAGGGGTGTCATTGTTTTTAACTATATGTGTATAGTAAAAACTTAAAAAAAATCTTCTTTTAAAAAGCCCAATGAGCTAGAGCTTAGATGTTTAGCATGAAACATCTTCTTATGGGTGTCTACCAAGTTTGTGCAAATAAAAGCCCTTTGGTTAAAATTGGCCCTGCAACGTTGGGGGGGGGGGGGGGGGGGGGGGCCTATATACAGGTGAGCGACCTCAGGGCCATCATGGCCCTCTTGTTTTTTTTGTATTGTTTGTTTTTTTATTGTTTTTTTTCGCTGGGTATTCATAGAATTTAACTATTATAGAGCAGAGAACTGTTTCAATATTGAATATTTGAAGTGTACAGATATGATAAATTTAATTTGCGATGAAATTGAAGAGTAACATGAATTATTAAACAATTTGATTATTATGATTTATAGTTGAAATTTTCGGCAAATTTTAAATTTAGAATTATGATGTTTTATGTTACGCCGGCAGAAACGGAAAAAAAAAAGAAGACAAAAAACATAAAGCCCCCCGTCTAGGAAATATGGCAATGGCAAGGGAATAATTCTAATATGATATTAAATAACTGTATTTATTACATTTTGCACTATCCAATTTTCAATACCTAATAGTTATATTGGTTTTTATTCGATGCAATCAGGAATAACTTTATTCAAAATGAAATATGAAATTTCAACATGCATCGTATTGTCACGCATGTTTCAAGAAATTCAAGTGAATGTAGAAACCGACAAGACTTGTTTGCAAGAGAGAAAACTGCTGTTAGTGGTCGTTTTATTTTTTTGCGGAAATGATTAGCGGTTATAAACAGTCTTCTAAGATAAAAATGTTAAAATCCCATTGGTATTTTATTAACATGAAGGGAGGATATGCCATGTCCTTGCAAGTTCTTGTAATGTATTCAGTACCCAGTGAGTGCTAAGGTAAGCAGTGGCTTAGTGGTAAAGGTGTCTGCCACTCAATGCGGTGATTGTGAATATGAGCACCACTAAGGTGACCACCTGATGTTTCAACATAAACACTATTACAGTTCAGTTTCGGCAGCAGTAATTCACAATGCCATATGCTGGAGCTCGAACCAAAACTGACCTGTCTTCTATGTAAGTGTAACCCTTAACTTCTCCTCATAAGTTTTCTGAACCTATTGTTTAGAAAAACTTGCCAGTATATGTGATGGTTTTGACCCCTGGTGTTGCATTAAATTTGTAACACCCAAGGTTAGCCAAAATCATCTTTCCTGTTTCGGCACCATATGACCTAAATTGTGTTGGTTTGCCGTAAATCCTAACAAAACAAGCAAAAAATTGTCCAGTGTATAAACCTATTTTGCCCTGTCTTGTAAGCTTACTTGAATGGTTATTTAAAAATAATGTTTCCAGTATGATTGAAAAAAAGAATCTATTTCAGGAGGTGCCGTTTGAAGATTTAAGACGAAGATGTATGGAACAATTGGAGGTGATGTCAAAGAAGAGAATACGGAGGATTCTTGCAGGTAGTTTTAGTAGTTGTATTATAGTTTAACCCCTGGCCGGCAGGCGGTGTCAAATTTTTGTCCGGAGCATATATATTACACGCATGGAGGAATTTTAATGAAACATCAAAGTTCATATAAAAATATGAAAATATGTATTCTGACCATTTAGTCATCATTTATGGAGGTATTGAAACACAAATGGTTATTATCATGACTACTGGTGTGAAACATGTGATTAAGGTTAATATATGCAAGGTCAAGGTCACTAAAGATGATAAAATATAGAGATTTTGTCCACACATATGGTGGAATTCTAATGAAACTTCATAAAAATGTTCACCACTATGAGAAGCAGTGTCACATGCATAAACCTGGTCTCTAGGCTAAAGGTAAAGGTTACACTTAGAGTTCATTGAAAAATGTTTGTTTGGAGCCAAACTTTTACATTCAAAAGGGGATTTTAATGTAACTTGGCACAAGTGCTCACCATTTTGAGGTTTATCGCGCACATAATCATGGTCCCTGCTACCAAAGTAAAGGTCAAATACAAAGAGGTCAAAGTTTGTGTACGGGGACCATTTAGTCATCATTTATTGATGGATTGTAACACAAATGATAACTATCATAACTACAAGTGTGACACATGTAATTCTGGTTAATATTTGCAAGGTCAAGGTCACTAGAGATGATAAAATAACCAGGTATTTTCCGGAAATTTCCCAGAACATATCTCCTATATGTCTTATATGTCATAGCTTTCTATAATGCCCACATCTCTGTCAAAAGATTTTTTGATGCCAGGCTTTAAAATTTTGTGACAATGTTGCCCTTGTTATTCTTGGTGAATATTTTTTTATTAATGTTACTGAAATATGTGAGGAGATATCTTAGGTTAAGAACTATATTATTACAGTAGATCAGATATACAGTGACCCTGGATGGTAATTGGTTTCTTTATAAGGACTACGCTTCCAACTTCTCAACATGCTTCTCTTCACACACCCATAGAGAACAAAAAGGTGTTAAACCATCTACAGCAACAATACATGTGCCAACAGGTACACAGAATGAGTTAGTAAATAGTTATTCCCAAAGATCTTCCTGTGCTAAAAAATAGTCTTAAAATACAGAAATTATAGGGAACTAAGGAGTATGTCTTTAAACTTCCTATAATTTATGAAATCTTACAGAATGTTTTGAGATTTCAAAGAAATCATGAAATGTTAAGAATGCCTTGAAGCTTTGAAGAAATCATGAAATGTTAAGAATGCTGTGAAACTTTGAAGAAATCATGAAATGTTGTGATACTTCATAGAAATCATGAAAAATGATACAGATTTACAGATGGTATATACTTTGTGCTCAGTTTATAACTTCTACATGCATGAAGGGATTTCAAGAAAAAAAATGAAAAAAAAATGTATAAGGTCAAATCCTGTCCAGTGTTTTATCTTTCTCTACTTGATGGATTGTAGAAATATTTGGCATATATCTTCACTGTAGTCAGATGATGTATGGCATGCAAGAACTGGGTCTGCAACTTTTAGGTCAAGGATATATTTAAAGGTCAAAGGTCAAATCCTATGTCCTTACTTGCTGGATTGTTGTAAAATTTTGCATTATGATGATCTATTGAATAAGTCAAAGTGTGTCATTGCAACAGTCATGAAGATGTGTGGCATAAAAGACTAATGCTCACTTCATCAAGGTCATTTTCATTTTTGAGGTCAAGGGTCAAATCCTTTTCTGTTTATAACTACATGTATATCATTTGGCTTTTCAGATAATCATTCATAATTATGTTAAACCCTAATGTCAGCACATTCAGAATCATTTTTGCGCTTGACAAAGTTTAAATCTTGTCCATTTTAATCATATAACTTATAAATCATGTGACATTTGGCATATGTCTTCACCATGGTAAAAAAAAATGTGTCATGCATAATACCCAGGTCATGGTTTGCTAGGAGATAAAAATGTAATATGTGCATCTGTGTCTTATTGACACATTTCTATAAATCATTAAATTTAGGAGATTCATAATAATTATGTTACAAGTGCTTCTGGGTTAATGTGTCAGACTTGTAATCTATGGATCTTTAAGCTGTATGTGTTTAAACCCAAACATGGGCAAGCTGTTGTTTCCTTGGGCAAGAAACTTTACAGTCATTGCTCAGTATTGGTTGGTTCTAGGAATGAATCCGATAGTGTGTATAATAATAAGATAAAAACTTCCTACACAATGGAACTAAAATAACTTCTGTATAAACAAACAAGCTACAGCCATGAAAATTAATTTTTAGAATTGGTTTGAACACTATTTTCATCAATCAGCTGATTATATTTATTGCTTTATAGATTCATTTAGGTATAAACAACCTTTAAAATTATGATGAAAACAAGCCAAGTTCGAAATAACAATATTCAGATTTTAATGATGTTTTAATCTATATAATAATGGTTCGGAGATTTTAGAAAATTTAGGTTAATCGTAAAGAACTTTTCTTTGCCACAAGAATCTTTTAAAAAATAACCATGTTGATATTTTAAGAGCCTCAGATTTGTTTTCAAAATAGGTGGGCAATAAAAAGATTTAATGTTTGAAAACTCACAGAGGGTTTTAGATTTTGATCATGGGGTTTGGAACATTAACTTTAATAGGGTCAAGTTGTTGGAAATGTAACTGTTTTTATCTGTTGATTACATCTCTTAGTTTAGGTATAACCATTGAAAATTCCTCTGAAGCAAAATTTTCCAACATATATATTTTTTTTGATCTTTTGACTTTAACACTTAAAAAGTCGATGGTGATGCAAAATTAATCTATAAATAATGTTCGGGATATTTATTTTGGATAAGTGTTAAAGCCTATTCTGAAAAAAAATTAATGTAGGATGAATTATGATAAAATGATGAGTAAAATTAATTGAATAAGAGAATGTTTCAGTTTATATAAACAAAATGTAATGTAGAAAAACCTTTACATGTAATGCGCAGTCAGTTTAGGAAAAGCTAGCGAAATGAGTTTTCATCTGCCTGTCTGATGGCAAGGTCATTGCATGGTTTTGTTTTTGTGACAAAAAAGCTGGGTATATTCGAAATTGTATGGTACCATCAGTCTGATTGTCCCTGAGTGGGCCTTTCGGGTTATGCCAGGTCTCTAACCCCAGGGATTGAAAGGCTGGATTAATTTACAAAATGTAACATAGTATTCTCAAATTGGTATATTAGCTTCAGTCAAGCAATAAATGACTTTTGGTTATTAACAGAAGTGTCTTCTGGTTGAATCAATTAGAAATTGTCCTATTTTCATTCATGGCATTGTCTGTTCTCAATTTTTGGGACATCAAAGATAAAATTTGATGTTTGTCAACCTACAGTTTAGTCCGGTCAGGCTAGAATCTGATGAGATCGCAGGCTTGGCTAGCTTATATATTGATGGCAGAGAATATTTTGCACAATAAGAGATATTATCCTGGAAAAACGGTGTGAAGGAACGATCGGAAAATTGGCACACAAGTTAATGGTTTAAACTTACATCAAATCATATATAAATCTTGGAAATATATTTTTAGTTCCATCACACCAAAAAACCTGAGTGGAGTCCCTTTAAGCTAGGACAGTGAATCTTTAACTTTATATTTTAACATTATTTTGTTAACCTGTAGGTGTGAAGCTTTAAGGTATAGGTTAAGAGGTTTAAAACAAGTTCTTCTTTGTCTTACTCCTGTAAAACATCAAGAAAGGGTCAGAGGTCAGTAATATTTAACAGTTGCCAGTGTTTAAATTTCACATTTATCTTAATTACACAAACATTATCAAGTTGTTTTAAACATCTTCAGGTAAAATAAACAGTTGAGTTAAGCTTTTTCTTATGTTTTAAACAAGATGTATTATAAACCCATTTTGTTTTAATTGGGGAAAGCTGTTTGAAAGAAATTTCTTCAATTTAACAAGAAAATGTTCATGCTATTAAAACACTGCACAAGCATTACAGCTGGGGTTTTATTCTACCAATTTATCAAATTTAACTTGAAAGAATTTAAGAACAGGAAAAAAAAAATGAAAGAAATTTGACTATTTTTTAAGATTTAATTACCGTTTTTTAGCTTGACTTTTTTTTTTTTGAAAAAAAAAGTAGAGGTATTGTTATAGTCAGGTCGGCGTTGCCGTTGCCGTTGCCGTTGCCGTCCGAAAACTTGTACCTGGATCATAACTTTTTTATTTCTTGGTGTATTGTCTTCATACTTGGCCACAACAACCCTTGGGACAAGACCTTTCAGTAGACCACACTAACCTTGACCTTCATCCATAAATGACCTTGACCTTCAAGGTTAAAAGTCCAATTTTTGCTTGTTCATGCTGTTATTGGCTGTAACTTTGTTATTTTTGAATGGATTGTCTTCAAACTTGAACATAATAATCTTCAAGGATATCCCTTAAAAATAACCAGTCAGACCTTGACATTCACTCATCAATGACCTTGACTTTGAAGGTCAAATTATTGAAATTTTCATTTTTTTGGCTATTATTGGCTGTAACTTTGTTATTTTTGAATGGATTGTCTTCAAACTTGAACATAATAATCTTCAAAGATAACTGTTAAAAATATACCGAAAGACCTTGACCTTCACTCATTAATGACATTGTCTTTGAAGGTCAAATTATTGGAATTTTCATTGTTTTGGCGGTAACTGACTGTAACTTTGCTATTTTTGAAGGGATAAACTTCATATTATAACAGAACATTCTTAAGGACCAAACCTTGTTGTTTATCAAACCCAAATTTGCTTGGGCTCTTTAATGACCTTGACCTTGAAGGTTATATTACTGAATTTTTTCAGATTGTGCATTTTATTGGTGTGTGTGTGTATGTATAGTATATGTATTATATATATATATAAATGTGTGTGTGTGTGTGTGTGTGTATATATATATATATATATATATATATATATATATATATATATATATATATATCAAATATATATATATATATATTATTATATTAAATATAT